AAAAAAAAAAAAAAAAAAAAAAAAAAAAGAGAGAGAATAAAAGGTTCCAATCTCAAATCTACTAAATTATTTACTTGGAAAGTCCTGGGCTCTCTCTAGCTTCTAGGGAAATGAAAGCCCTTCAGTTCCCAGAATTTTGCCTGCCTTATAGCTATGTAAAAAACTTACATTAAAAAAAACAAACAAACCTGGGCACTTACTTTTGTATTGTTCTTGGCAGGTGGTGACCTACTTGGCAGGCTGTGGCCTACAAAGCTGCCCCATGCTTCTGGCCAAAGGATACCCTGATGTCGGCTGGAACCCCATTGAAGGGGAGCGCTACCTGTCCTTCCTGAGGTTTGCCGTCTTCGTGAACAGTGAGTCTCAGTTTTCCATGTTTTCCAGACCTAGGATGGCATAATTGTGGTGGATACTAGGAAAAGGAAATCCTTTGCACTGCGTCCTCTCCATAAATATGATAGATTCTATAGGTAGGTGGCAGCTGGAAGAAAAATCTCAGGGAGAATCAGGCTAGACAAGGATCAAGAGTAGAATCCAATGGACAGTCCTGAGCTCTAGTGCCAGAGGCTGCAAGGAACTCACTGCATGGGCTTGGGCTTGTCATCTCTCTGTACCTCTTCTCCTAAAAGAGGGGGCTTATTAATATCTTGATCTCACCTGTTGCACAGAATTAAATGCAAGTGTGCCTCCAGATCCTTAGACTATTAGTTGGTTGGGTGGATGGATGGATTGATGGATGGATAGTTAGATGGGAGGAAGGATGGATGGATGGATGGATGGATGAATAAAAATCAGGAATAACTGATCACTGTTAAAGGTAACTAAACTCCCAGGAGAAAAAAATTGCTATAGGAACCCTAAATATTATTTTTCTTAATACTGATACAAGTCACCTCTCATTTGTAGTGAATTCCAAGTTGACACAAATTCTGTATTTTCACTAGTTTAATGTGCTGAATATTGTGTAAAATAAGTAAACTACTTTCTTAAAACTGTACCTTGTCTCCCTAGATTCTGCTAAAATACTAATTCACTTATATTTACATTATAGTTATAACAGTTCTCCCTTTTCCCAGTTTGGAGCTTCAGGCCAACAAATCCATCTGGGCTGGTTAAGTGATCACAGAGAGGGATTGCACCTAATAAACAATCATGCCGATTTTTCTAACTATGAGAGTTCACCTAAAAATATCTTGGCAATGGGGCTTCCCTGGTGGCGCGGTGGTTGAGAGTCCGCCTGCCGATGCAGGGGACATGGGTTCGTGCCCCGGTCCGGGAAGATCACACATGCCGTGGAGTGGCTGGGCCCGTGAGCCGTGGCCGCTGAGCCTGCGCGTCCAGAGCCTGTGCTCCGCAATGGGAGAGGCCACAGCGGTGGGAGGCCTGCGTACCACAAAAAATAAATAAATAAAAGACAATCAAGACATGGTCCCCGAACTTCAAGGAACAGAATAAAGGCATCTATTACTTTGTAATTTTATTAGCGCAACCTCTGGGAAAAACTCCTAGAAGGGGAATTGCTGGACGTGTGGTCTTCCTAAATATTGCCAAATAGTGTGGGTGAGGGTCTTTTTCTTTTGCAAACATGTATGTTCTTTGAGGAGACAGCTAGGAATATAAGAATAAATCTTTTATAAGGAGTGAAAAGTAGATCTCAACAATAACCCTCAAGGAACCCAGTAGTACCCCCTACTTCCCATCCTGTAGCTGAATTAATATTCCACAAAATGCTGCTCTTTTAGTAAAAAAATTGGGGGGGAATACAAATATTATTACAGAATTGCTTTTCTTCCTTTCAACAAGTGGTGGAAGAATAAACCAAAATCATTTTTAAATGGTTGTCTACAGAGGAAAGAGAAAGCAAGTTGGAAAGGACAGGCATGCAAGTTAGACTCCTCAGAATATATCTTGTTTCATAGTTTCTACTTTGAAGACATGTTTTAAAGTCAAATTAACATCAAACGATAATGACATTTTGAACATCAAAATGATAACGATTACCACTGACTGAAACATTAAGTGTATTTTTTAAAAAATCCATCATCTTTGGTTGTCACTAGAGCAAGAACTAATTATCCTGAAAATTGATTATAGAAAAGAATCAAGTATTTATCCAGCCTTTCTTATATGAAAGGTACCCCAGAGTAACCAGTCAGTAAGTGAAAGCCCTCTTTTATAGGATTCCAAAAAATAAATGTAGAAGGAATGACAGAATTAGAGCCATGTGCTCTTCTTGTCTTCCTTCCCCTCCCCACCCCCCCTGCTTATTTTCCTACACCATAATGCACTCTATTCTTAATATTTGAATGGTTTCCATTGTCCCAGTGTTTCCCCTTTCCTGACTTGGAGACAGACCTTGAGATGTCTACCTTTTGTTCCCCTGGGACTCATCCAGCCAAGTTTCTAGGAACTCGGGCCTTCTGCTTCTCTCTGCGTGTTCGTCACTGTCCCTCCTGTCTGTTCATCATCAGCATTGCTAAACTCCATTTTCTTCCTCTGAGGCCAGTTTCAGAGCATCCTCTAATAGTCTGTCTTACTTCTAATCCAGATGATTGCATGTCCAGAATTAATGCAGAGTTGACTGTGGTAATAAAGGGAAATTCTTTGTTAAATAGATTTTAAGGATTCATACATGTCACCAAATTATGTAAATAGACTGTATGACACAAACCAGATACAGGCAGGACCCATTTATTCATGTTGGCCACCTTCACAGTCAAGATCAAGTGCTTTATGAGTCAATTAGTGTGACTGTCCACATGGGTTATGAAGGTAGAGTCCACTGGCTATGGTCTTACCTGGATGGCCAAATTCCAAAACTTCCTTATGCTTATTAGGTACTACCATATTCAACTAAACTCTAAACCAAAAGCATTTGGTCCACCCTCTTTGCTTTCAGATCGTTTTATGTCTTTTTAATATATTCTCTACAGTATGATTTCATAATGCAATACCTTCTAGCAAATCTATTAGACCATCAGTAGGAAGATATGTGCACTTTAATGTTTATTGTGTCTCTATTATATAAAGGCCACATTTGGTCTTGGCAAAGGATGTTGGCTTTTGCACTGAAAGAATTAACAGTCTAGTAAGTGGAACAGGCATGGAGAGGGGTCACTGTAATAAGGAGTGGAGTAAGGTAGGGACAGAGTGATAGAGGATTTCACGAGGGGAAGCTCACATCCTGTTGAGATCAGAAAAAGCCTCCTGGGGGAGGTGATATTAGAGATGAGCTTTGAAGGGTCAGATTTCCAGATGCAGAGATGCAGAAGAGGTGATCCAGGTAAGGAGAAGCTTGAACAGTGGCCTGAGAGCTAAAGCACACATGCTCAGGAAACACAGTGATTGGCTGATCTAGAGGATAGATACATGGTTGACAGTGGTAAGAGACGAGGTTTAAAAGGCAGGTAGGCAGCTATACTAGGGAGAATCTAAATGCCAAGCTGAAGAGTTTTGTCTTGATTCAGTGTGGAGAGAACTGGGAAAGAAGAGAGATTGATGGCAACCACTGGGAACTTCTGTGCCCAGGTTAGGATAATGAGTCTCTGAATTATAATGGTGGTGATGGGAATGGGACGGAAGAGATCAGCTGGAAAGAAATTACAGAGACAGAATTTATAGGACTGGCTGGTGGCGATGACTCTGGTGGCTGGGCCCTGGGTATGTTGGGAGAAAAGGAACAGAAGTCACTTTGAAGGTTAGAGGTTTTTGTTGTTGTTGTTGTTGTTGTTGGGTTGGGTCTTCATTGCTGCACGCGGGCTTTCTCTGGTTGTGGCGAGTGGGGGCTACTCCTCTTTGCGGTGCACGGGCTTCTCATTGCGGTGGCTTCTCTTGCTGTGGAGCATGAGCTCTGGAGTGCACGGGCTTCAGTAGTTGTGGCACGTGGGCTCAGTAGCTGTGGCTCACGGGCTCTAGAGCACAGTCTCAGTAGTTGTGGCGCACGGGCTTAGTTGCTCCATGGCACGTGGGATCTTCCCGGACCAGGGATTGAACCCGTGTCCCTTGTCCCCTGCATTGTCAGGTGGATTCTTAACCACTGCGCCACGAGGGAAGTCCTGAAGCTTAGAGATTTAAGGGTAGGGAGAAAAGAAATAAGGATGGTCAAAAGGAGAAAATGGTTTGAGATGGAGGGTAATGAGCTTGTGTGATTCAGGTAATGATTTGCGAACCCCAAATGGAGATGCCCCTAATTGGGGCAATAGGATAGAGATCAATCAGGCAACAGATTGGGACTGAGTAGACTTGCGGGTCACCTTCAGTTGAAATGGTAGGAGTGGACTGTCACAGGGGAGAGCACGAAAGAGAGAGAGATGGCAAGTATGGAAAAAGAAAAAATTAGAATCTTGTTGAGCACCTAGAGGAGATAGAGCGGCTCAGTCGCAGCAGAATGACATGGAAGAGTTTGGGCTGGAGGATGGAGTATCTTGGGTTCAGATATGGCTCCATCACTAGCTCTGTGAATTTAGGCAAGTTACTAAAACTTTCCTAGCCTCGGGGGTTTTTTGTATATAAAACAGATAATAATTGCATATATCTCACAGAGTCGTTGTGAGGCTTAAATGAAGTAATCCATGGAAAACTCAGATTAGCACACTGCCGGAAATGTAGTAAGCCTGCAGTTGTGTTAGTTGACATTGTTATTGTGATCCTTACAAGAGTATTAGGGCATTTGAAATGGGAAGACTCTCATAAACAGATTCCTTGGGATCTCAAAGCTCTTTGTCTTTACATCTTTATTTCAAAGTCTTTATATCTAAGAGGTGATTACAAAGGACTTCCCGGCCACTTTTGTGGCCTCTGCTCAGCAGCGAAAGATGAAGGTGTTATGGGTGATCATGATAGATAACGGGAGTGGTTATGGTGGGTGATGGGTGATGGTGGGGGTGGGTTGGTGGTAGGTGGTGATGGTGGATGAGTCACAGTGAGGGTAGTAATAGTGGGTAGTGATTGGTGATGACAGTGATGATGGGATATGATGGTTGAGTGGTAGCCATCGTGGGTTTTGTGAGGTGATCAAGGTGAGTGGTGGTGAGTGATGGTAAGTGTGGTGATAATGTTTCGTGGGCAGTGGTGAGTGATGGTAGGGGTGGTCGTAGTGGGTGATGGTAGTGGTGGTGGTATATGATGGCTGGGTGGCAGACGGTCATAGTGGGTTGTAGGGGTGACTGTGGTAGGTGGTAGTGCATGGTGAGGATGGTGGCGGTGGTAATAACAGCTAGCACTTAGCATTTTCATGTGCCAGGCATGGTTCAAAGTACTTTCATATGTATTAACTTATTCATTTGATGCAGCAATCCAATGAGTTAGATACAGTTATCTTTATCATTTTATGGTTGAACACCCCTATGCTGAGAGA